CCCCAAAACCCCAAAACCCCAAAACCCCAAAACCCCATATGAAGAAAAATTGATTGAATTGATTAGACTTTTCTCATAAAGCGATGGTTTTCTTGGGTGTTAAGAGGCACAAATTCATCCTCAGTCATTATGAGCTTGAATGGGATTATGAGAGCGAAGAGGCTCACCACTCCAATGATTAGGCCCAAAAACAGCATTGTATTGTTGTCCTTAGATTTTACTAAATCTACCTTGGTGTAGCCAACTACATATGGATCCTTGCTGCTTCTGACACTGAGAGTTATATTGTGGACAGTGCTTAATTGACTAAAAGTAGGTTCATTGATTGGGTCTGTCCATCTGTAGAAAGCAAAACTAGCATATGACCTGTTGATCTCATCACATGGGAAAACAGAGTAATTCGAAGCTAGATTGGGAAAGTTATTATGATCAACAATGTATCATAAGTGAACTACCTGGTTATAGACATAGCAAGAATTGTCAGTTCTGTTCCAATAACCGATCTTATTTAAAGTTCAATCTTTGCTCGACCTTGAGCTTTTCTTTCTAATGTATACAGGAATGTCTTCAAGGCTGAGAGTGTTTCCATCGTTAAAATTAACTAGTAGAGTTGAGGTTAAATTAAATTCCCCGTTGTTAGGATTCTCTTTCTTTGTTTCTGTTGAATCTCTCAGTACATCAACAATGTTGTCAATATTATATTTTACAACTGTATAGTTATGAAGATCACTAAATTGTGAATGGAAATCAGGAGTATTTAGCTCTGAAAATTGAACCTCTTCGTTTGCATTGTTAATCAGAACTGGCTTCCAAGCCTTCGTTTCATCTCTGTATTGTGATTCCCAGCTATCTATCGCACCATCAATCTGAAGTACTTGCTCTTGGTGCTTCTGGTTTTGAGAATGATACGCAACAGAGGCGCCATAGGCCAAACTGGTCACCATAACTATCAGCAGTACCCACCCGAAGACTCTTTTACAGCAGACTGACTTAGAGTTAGCTACCTGACAAACTGAAGGTCAGGACCTTCCGCTATCCTTGTCAAACATTTATTATGTAATTTTTCAAAATATTTTAACCTTTGAGGGGTTTTGGGGTTTTGGGGTTTTGGGGTTTTGGGG